AAAGTTGATGATAATGAAAAATCATCATCCATCAATCTAACCAAACAAGCATCAAAACTTGAAGGAGAAATCAGATGATAGTCAAGCTTAATACGGGTTGGAGAGGAAGAAGGAACACCCATATCTTCAAGTAACCACCGCATCCACTACTAAACCAAAGGGATGCAAATTTCAAATTCTAGCTCGACAAATACCAAAAAAACTGGATGCAAATTTCAAATTTTGGATACACCGAACCAACACCAAATCAAATTCCAGATGAACTGGACATATACTAAATCAAAGGGATACATCCGAAAAGAAAAAAACAACATTGGTAGCGGGATGAGCGGCTTGTCGGAACGAAATTCAAAGGTTAATTTGTTTAGGATCGAAACTGTTGGAGATTGAGCCAATATAACAAACAAGCAGCAGAAACAATTAATTCAATCACTCAACGCACAAGAATTAAAATGGCAGCTATAATAGACAAATCCAACAAACTCACTCAATTGTTATCTTTTTAAGTTCGCACTGAACTCACACCTTCTTAATATGTGAAGTATTTTAACAGTTTCTGTTGAAACTTTGGGTAAAATTACTTCAATAATGTGGAAACCGTATGAAAGACACAAGCCTTTTACTTGTTTATTATAAGTAATGCAGCCTAATTTCTTTACCATTCATGTTCCATATCTTGATGTTATACATGTTCTAGATTGTAATGACCTGGCCTCCATGCCCAAGAGCCTAAGCCGTTATATTATACGTACTATCCGCTTTGGGTGGACATTTGCCCACTTAACCTTTCACGAATTTCTATTGCGTCCTCCAAGATTCGAATCCAACACCTCTGCCTAATGAGAGACTTAAGTTGAATCCTGATTCCAATTCGGCAACACTACGTATGATATAGCGACTTGGGTATAAAGGTTGGGTCGCTACAAAAAAAATATTTTTTTTTGTAATGACCGGGGTCTCTATACCCAAGCAATTAGCTTACGTGTGCAGATGCCCACTTACCCCTTTACGACTTTCTATAGCGTCCCCCCAGGATTCGAACCCAAGACCTCTGCCTAATGAGAGATTTAAGTTGAATCCTGGTATCAATTGGTACAGTACGTAAGCTAACGACTTGGGTATAGAGACTCGAATCGTTCAAATCCAACAAACTCACTCAATTGTTATCTTTTTAAGTTCGCACTGAACTCACACCTTCTTAATCTGTGAAGTATTTTAACAGTTTTTGTTGAAACTTTGGGTACAATTACTTCAATAATATGGAAACTGTATAAAAGAAACAAGCCTTTTACTTGTTTATTATAAGTAATGCAGCCTAATTTCTTTACCATTCATGTTCCATATCTTGATGTTATACATGTTCTAGATTGTAACGACCTGGCCTCCATGCCCAAGAGCCTAAGCCGTTATATTATACGTACTATTCGCTTTGGGTGGACATCTACCCACTTAACCCTTCACGGATTTCTATTGCGTCTTCCAAGATTCGAATCCAACACCTTTGCCTAATGAGAGACTTAAGTTGAATCCTGATTCCAATTCGGCAACACTATGTATGATATAGCGACTTGGGTATAAAGGTCGGGTCGCTACAAAAAAATATTTTTTTTTGTAATGACCGGGGTCTCTATACCCAAGCAATTAGCTTACGTGGGCAGATGCCTACTTACCCTTTCACGACTTTCTATCGCGTCCCCTCAGGATTCGAACCCAAGAAATCTGCCTAATGAGAGATTTAAGTTGAATCCTGGTATCAATTGGTACAGTACGTAAGCTAACAACTTGGGTATAGAGACTCGAATCGTTACTAGATAATATTAAACATCATCATATTGATTGTCTTTGTATAGAGAATCATGAAGAGATAAAGCATGTTCCATGTCTATGAAATTAACTAGTCCATTTTTTCTCTCATGGTAATCTGCTTCGAACTGTCCTTCAAGACTTGATTTTGGTACTTAATTAATTATTTTTTTATTTTTGATCATTTAGGAGATGTAACAATATGTATCGTATAACTACTTTCATTTCAATTTCACATTTCGTTTCTTTGTGTTTTGGAAACCTTAACTTTTCTAAATATGGATTTTCAGGATTCTTCATTACAATTTGGATCACTGCTGGCTTGGTCAAGTCTAATGACATTCTTCGGAAGCAGACAGCTCTAAAGGTGTGGTGTGTGTTCCATATGCTGAGTAGTTTGTAGCATATTCATGTTAATTGTTTAAAGTTTAAGCCGTACCCATTTCTATAGTAGGAATAAAGATAAATATAGAAATTCTTCAGAACAACTAAACACTGACTTTTGCAGGGAGAGAGAAAGTTTTCTGTCCTTGTTGGTTATTCATTTGCCTTTATACTTCATGTATCTGGAATCTACTGGTGGTGTCGGGATGATGAAATTTTCTATCCTCTATTTATGGTTCCTCCGAAGGTTATCCCACCGTTCTGGCATGCAATTTTTATCATCTTAGTAAATGGTATGGATTATTTTAGCTCTTTATTGTTTTGGCAATAACTTTATTTGATCTTTAAGTTGTACACTTACGGAATAAAGATTAAATCACTTGAAACCTGCTTATGTGGATGCTGGATATGCATTGGTTGTTAAATACGAGATGGAAATCAAGTGCCTTACTGAACATTTTATTTTGAAATTTGATTAGTTTTTACTTGAGAGGCCCAATTACATTGAATATGATCATTGCATGGCTTTAACTTTCCCCTCATGCTAAATTGCTTGTGGCATATTTTCTTTCCGTCTCTCTTTTTTCCTATTACAAAATTTTCCTTGTAATCGGATTCTGTTCTGAAATTTGAAAATGTTTTCTAACATTTATTACTGTTTATATTTTGACTTTTGAGCATATTATATTTATCTTAGGGTTTTCCCGGAAGGGAAGGGGTAACTGAAGTTGGGAATCTTGTTTAGGGTACTTAAATTGTATCCTTCAATTTTTTCTGAAAATGTTTGTTTCAGATACAATGGTTCGGCAGGCTGCAATGGTCTTGAAGTTGGCTCTGCTGATGTATTATAGGAACAGCAGGGCCCATAATTTTCGCAGACAGGTAATACAGTTTTTAGAGTATACAATAAAGTTTCTGGTAATTTAGCTGGTAGTATGTCATTCCATAGAATTCTGATGTATGATTTGCATTCAGGGTCAAATGTTGACTCTAGTTGAGTACACACTTCTTCTGTACCGGGCGTTGTTACCAACCCCTGTATGGTATAAATTCTTCTTGAACAAAGAAAATGGAAGTCTCTTCTCATCATTGATCACAGGGTTGTATTTGACTTTCAAGCTTACATCTATTGTTGAAAAGGTAATTCTTACGTTCATTTGCTTTTTATTGCCTAGAATTTGGAATACTGTGTTGAAAGAAATTTTCTCTTCTTCATCCCTGTTGTCAGGTCCAATCCTTCGTCGCTGCCTTAAAGGCATTATCGAGAAAGGTTCATTATGGGTCTTATGCGACATCAGAACAGGTATGATGTTTCTTTCACTTTTAAATTTTGTGGAACTAGTTTTGGTCCATATGGAACCTACTGGTGCTAAAGCGGACAAAAATATGCCTCAATTAGCCTCCGTTTGGCAAATTTAAAAATGGTTTGTAAATATGAATAGTAAGAGAAATAGTAGTGGTCCCACGAAATGTGTGGATAATAATGCGTAATTGTTATGAATGTGTAGTGGAAATAAATGTTTTGACTTTTGACTAATTTATAAACCATTTTTAAATTTGTATCCAAATGGATAAATAGTGATGTCTTTGGCTTTTAATTAATTTTGATCTAGAGCCTGCTGGTGTCAAAGTGGACAGAAGCAAGCCTTACAATTCCTACTTTGTGTAACAATCAGGAAGATATTTAGCAAATCCTACTTCTCCTTTACCCTAACCGTTTGAGATCACCTTGTTTGCTTCATTTTGTACTCAGTTAGTTATTCTCTAATGAATGATGATTACATGGTTATTCGAGGCAACAATTTCAACTTATAATTTAGATCCGATATCCATATTCAATTGTCATTTCTATGCCAAGTTAACTTTTTTGAATTCCTGCATAATTACTTCCCAGTATAAGAATCTTTTTTTGTTCACTAATTATTTATCTTGTTAGCATTTTCAATGTTAATGTCTTCTTGTAATAACCCATATTGGTTTTACAAAGTAAATGTTCATTTACCCTGCACATGCAAAGACACACAGCTACATCCCATGTGGCAGTGAGGAATAATGGAAGCTGAATCTGTGCGCACAATGATCTCACAACTCTTCTACACGCCTATTGATCTGAACTAGGAATATAGGAAATTGGAAAAAAACTCTCAGAGAGTATTATTATTGATTGAAAATAATCTAAAAGTTATTTGACGGTTACTGAACATTGCATATATATGTGAAATTAAAGACAACCCTAACAGCCAACTTACCTAAAATACGTGATAGACAAAATAGTGAAATAACAGAAAAGAAAATAATACGTCAGCAGGAAGAAAATTAATTGAAATAATACGCCTCCTCTCCATACAAGTGGCGCCTACTTGATCCACCTTTCCATAATATTGGCGGCTATTTGATTTACATCATCCTCCCCGTGTTTGAGAGAATTCGCCCTCGAATTCGAGTCCTTGGTCAGTTGGTTGACAAATCACCAATATACGGAACCAATTGCTTGACTTTAAACACATCACTGGTTGTAATATGGCTTGAGAGTTTCAATCTGTATGCATTAGGATTGATTTTCTCAATTATTTCACCAATCTTTCTAGCAGCAAGCTTATTATAGTCACCAACGGAAAATCTATATTTCGTCAGGATAGCCCACACCAAGTCCCCTACCTCAAACTCCACTGCCCTTCTTTTCATATCAGCAGCAGCAGCCTTGTATTTGACAGTAGAATCCTGCAAGTTCGTGACAGTCGCTGCATGAGTCCGTTGAATTTGACTGATTAAATCTTCAGCCTTGACACGAACTCGTCGAATATCAGTAATAGGCACCAAATCAATTGGTGCAGCACGAGGATTATAACTACATATCACATGAAAAGGACTAAGCCTTGTACTCCTATTGGTAGATCGATTGTAATTAAACTGAGCCTGAAATAGTTTCTGATCCCAAGACTTCAGGTGATCACCCACTAGACAGCGCAACAAGTCCCCCAAAGAATGGTTGACAACTTTAGTTTGGCCATTAGTCTGAGGGTGATAGGCACTACTAAAGTCGAGCTTGGCGTTAGACAAACGCCACAAACATCGCCAAAAGTGGCTAAGAAAACGGGTATCTCTATCAGACACAATGGATGAAGGCAATCCATGTAATCGATAAACATCACGAAAGTAAAGTTGTGCAACATTAATAGCATCTGATGTTTTCTTGCAAGCCACAAAGTGTGCTATCTTGGAGAAACTATCCACCACTACAAAAATAGAATCATGTCCACACCGTGTTCTTAGCAACCCCAACACAAAATCCATGCTAACATTAGACCAAGGCCCTTTTGGAATAGGCAAAGGCAGATAGAGACCTGCATTAGTTGCTCTCCCTTTCGAGACCTAGCAGACCCTACAACCCTCCACAAACCGTGCAACTTCATTTGGCATATGAGGCCAGAAAAACTGCTAAGTAAGAATCTTCAAAGTTTTGTCACGCCCCACATGACCTTCATTGTACAATTCTTGAATAATCTTCATGAGTATACTCCCTGCAGGAACACACAAATGATTGCCTTTGAATAGAAACCCATCATGCATAGTGTAATCATCCTGCGGTCGTGACCCCAAGTCACTCATAATAAGGCCAAAATAGGGATCAAGAGATAAGTAATCTTTGAACTGATCAAAGCCAATTACCTTGGTCTGCATTTGCACCAGCAAAGATGCTTTCCTACTTAAAGCATCTGCTACCCTGTTTACAGCTCCCGACTTGTGTTTAATGGTGAAGGAAAATTGTTGAGTGTAAGCGGCCCAACGTGCATGTCTAGATGATAATTTATCTTGACTATGAAGGTGCTTCAACGCCTCATGATCGGAATAAAGAATAAACTCATTATAAGCTAGATAAGAACTTCAATGCTTCAAAGTCCGAACTACAGCATAAAATTCCACATCATAGGTACTGTAATTGAGTTTGGAACCACCTAATTTCTCACTGAAGTAAGCCACAGGCTTGGCCCCCTTGACTTAAAACGGCCCAATGCCAACTCGAGAAGCATCGCAATGCAACTCAAAAGGCTGAGAAAAATCTGGCATTATGAGAATAGGAGCGGTTGTCAATTTCTCCTTAATTTGATCAAATGCCTTAGCTGCTTCATTGGTCCAGAAGAATTTTCCACCCTTCATACAATCCGTGAGTGGTGCCATAATGATACTAAAGTGAGGAATAAATTGCCTGTAAAAGACACCAACCTATGGAAGCTACGTACCTCCTGAATAGTAGAAGGAATTGGCCATTGTTGAACAACTACTACCTTAGACTCATCTACAGATAAACCATCCCTTGAAACTACATAGCCCAGAAATAAGACCGAGTCTGTCATGAAAGAACATTTGGCCATTGCTACAAAAAATTTCTCCTTGCGTAACACTTCCAAAACCTCCCTTAACTGTTGAAGATGCAAATCCACAGTAGCACTATAAATCAAGATGTCATCAAAGTAGACAAGATATTGCCGATGAATGGTCTGAAAATCTAGTTCATAACCCGCATAAAAGTGCTAGGGGCATTCGATAGCCCAAAAGGTATTACGAACCAGTCATACAACTCCTCTCTAGTTATGAACGAAGTTTTTCATTCATCGCCTGGACGTATGCGAATCTGATGATAACCACTTTTCAAATCTAACTTGGTAAACACAGTAGCACCACGTAATTGATCAAACAAGTCATCCGACCGAGGAATAAGAAATCTGTACCTAACTGTAATCTTGTTGATAGCCCGACTGTCTACACACATCCTCCAGGAACCGTCCTTTTTTGGAATAAGTAACGCTGGCACGGCACAAGGACTAAGACTTTCCCTGACATGACCCTTAGACAACAAGGCCTCCACTTGACGTCTAAGCTCCTCGTGTTCTTTGGGGCTCATGAGGTAATGTGGTCGATTTGGTAGATTGGCGCCCAGCATCAAGTCAATTTGATGTTGTATATCCCTCAACGATGGTAAACCTTCAGGAAATACATTAGAGAATTCTTCCACCAACTTGGACACGAGGGATAGGACTTTTCCCCCTTTACTGATCTCCCTTCCCAACAACACAAACACCACCCCAGATTCCTGCAATTCGGTCATAAAATCCATTTTGGCCACAAAATATTTCCCTCCCCTGAAGGGTGTCGAGGCTCCCCCTGCTTGTTAGGTAATAAGACAATCTTCACTTTGTCAAGTACAAAACTATATGTATTCTGTCTTCCATCGTGAATAACACCCCTATCATATTGCCATGATCGACCTAATAAAAGATGACATACATCCATGGTTATCACGTCACACCAAATTTTATCTTTATACTTCGCACCGATAGAAAATGATACTAAGCACCGTTTAGAAATAGTTACTCCATTTCCCCTCTTGAGCCAAGCCAATTTGTAAGGACTATGATGTTTCTATGTCTCTAGTCCCAACTTCTTAATAGCCTCTTCAGAAACATTCTCACAACTTTCTGAATCGATGATAAGCTTGCAAACCTTGCTGCCAATAGTATAGGTAGACTGGAAGATATTGTGGCGTAACCAGTCATCTTTACGAGGTGCCAAACACATCCTCCTCACTACTAATAAAGGACTTTCATCACCTGCAACCTGCTCCTCTACATATTCCTCCTCCCCAATATCGTAAGTAGGCCCATGTTCGACATCTACCAAGCCGTCAACACCAGTCTCACCCGAATCAATGAACAATCTCTTACCGTATTTAGGGCCCTTCTTGCAATCTGCCATGCGGTGACCCTCTTTTCTCTGTGGTAGGCGACCACAGTACGCTGAGAGGCTGATTGGTTTGTGCCAGAAATACCAACAATATTGACTCCGCTAGCACCACATGTTCTCTTAGATAACGTTTTCTCCAAGTGTAGGGCTCATTGGTGGGCTTCAGAAACATTCACAGGGTCAAAAAAATTTAAGGAGTCTTGAAATTGTTGCCATGTCCCTCCAATATGCCCAGACACCAACCGATCATCTGATTCAGCCAAATCCACACGTGCTATCAATTTATAAAATTCTGTAGTATATTCATCCATAGATCGTGAACTTTCCTTGAGATTTTGAAGTTGTTGATACATTGTCCTCACATAATTATGAGGTAAAAATTCTGCCCTCATGTGTTTCAACAATTTCTCGCAACTGTTAATTTTTCGTTTACCTTGGCGCACTCTAGTTTGCTTTGTTTGTTGCTACTAGGCAGCAGCTCTTCCTCTAAACTTTGTTGCTACCAAAGAAGCTTTTCAATCATCTGGTACTCCTTTTAACTCCAGTATTTCCCCTACTGCAGCAACCCAATCAAGAAATTCTTCAGGTTGTAGGCAGCTTTGAAATTCTGGGATATCCAGTTTGAAGCCTGAGTCCCACCTGTTAACATTGTTTTGGACTACTAGACGTTCCCTCCTTCCTCTCATCTCCGCAAACGGATTTTGATTCTCTCCTCCCTTGCTCTTGTCATCACTATATTCAGCAAAACGCTCACCATCGTGATTGCCGACGTCGATATCCAACGTTGAGAGCCTCCAGTTGCTCAGGGCATCAAATCTGTCGTCCATCTAAACAAATCACTCATTCACCTGTTGCAGTATCTGTGCCTCCAGTTGTGCCTCACGTGTCACCTCATCGCGTTCGTTCACCTCACCCATCACTGCATGCCTTCCCCCACGAGCTCCCCTACGTGCTATGGCTGAAACGTAACATGGGGCTCTCATACCAATTGATGCAGTGAGGAATAACGGAAGCTGAATTTGTGTGCACAATGATCTCACAACTCTTCTATACGCCTAATAATCTGAACTAGGAATATAGGAACCTGGAAAAAAACTCTCACAGAGTATTATTATTGATTGAAAATAATCCAAAAGTTCTTTGACGGCTACTGAATATTGCATATATATGTGAAATTAAAGACAACCCTAACAACCAACTTACCTAAAATACGTGAGAGGCAAAATATTGAAATAATAGGAAAGAAAATAATACGCCAGTAGGAAGAAATTTAATTGAAATAATACGCTTCCTCTCCATACAAGTGGCGCCTACTTGATCCCCCTTTCCATAATATTGGCAGCTATCTGTTCTACATCACCATGCCACCTAAATTTTCAGGTGGCTGGAATACTTGGCTTCGTTAAATCCCAAATGAAGCAAAATATTTAAGTTTTACCCTTAAAAGTCTGCTGATCTAAACGAGAAATACACCGAATGTCCCAATTCATATCTATGTTCTTAAGTGCTTGGTTCTTCTCTTGACAGCTATATCTCAGCATGCTTGGCCACAGTTTATTGCTCTCTTTAGCTACCTGTTGATGTCCCTGCTTTTAAAGTTCATGGTCGAATCCATGAATTTTTTTAATTTTTTTTTTTTACTGAGCATAAAGGAAGCAAGAGCACACGTTCTCAAGAAGTGACATGCACCTTTGTGCTCGTAGTCTTTATCTCCTGGTTCATGCATTGTGTTGAGGATTTTTATGATGCATATATCACTAGGAAACAGGAAAAGCATTTATTAAACTAAGCTGTAAATTATTGAACACAGGTGAATGTGGCAGGAGATCTGTGTGCTATATGCCAGGAGAAGATGCATGCCCCAATCTTATTGCGCTGTAAACATATCTTCTGTGAAGACTGTGTTTCAGAATGGTTCGTTATTTGCACTTTGTGATTACATGTAACTATCGTGGAAAAATTATTATTGACTATGTATCTTTTTTGTTGTACTTTTGTTATTTTTGTCCTTGTATATAATGCCTATTTGCATTTCATTCAATTGTGGAGTCAAAGGAGACGTGAATCACTAAATCATTGTTATCTCTTGGCTGTCACTAGGCAAGGTAGCAACCCCACATTCCTACCTTAAATCCAACTTCCAAGCATTCCCACCCATCTTATCTTTATCATCTGCTGTCTTTACCTCTAACTGGTGAGACTAATCTCTCCCTCTAATTGATGGAGTTTGGTGGCAAGATGCTCTTAAAATCGCATTTGTGCGACCTCAAGAATGCAGTCATTTTGAAAGCATTCACGGGTAGAGTGGCAATATTTTATAAAAATGGATAATGAAGAAAGAGGGATTTCTATGTGTGCCTACATTAAAGTGTAGCTGGGGTTGGGAGCATAGTTTGTTTAGCTTGAGCTTACTGAAATTATGATGAAGGATTTTGAAAATAGTTGATAAGTTTCAGAGAACTGTCATATTTGTAATAATGAATGCCAAAATTAGGGGACTAGATGATATCTGTTTAATTATTTGAACATAGTTCAAATTTAGATAAAATTGTGACTTTTTAGAAAGTTCATCCTTTTACTATTCTTGAAGCCTTTTCATTGTCTTTTACAATTATCTCATTTCACGTCATTTGATCAGTTGGCATCAAAATTTCCTTTTTCAGGTTTGAAATGGAAAGAACTTGCCCTTTGTGCAGGGCCCTTGTTAAACCTGCTGATCTTCGATCATATGGGGACGGGTCAACTGGTCTTCTCTGCCAGTTATTCTAATAGTCTCATCTTGTCCGGGAGTTTTTTTCTCCTTGACCTGCTTTGCAAGCATCAAAGCATTTCCCGCAGGAGTTGCTTTGTAAGACTGCCTCATTGTTTGATCTCCATTGGGAAGATTTCTACAAGGTGCTATACAAATTGGACGTGGATTGGCATTAAATATATATTATGTATCAGCAAATAGGTTCAATGTAACCATGGTGCCGTGACTTGGGAAATCTTGATACATGAAGAGATTCTTGATTCCAGCTCAGTACATATGGTGTTTTTGGTTTTCGCAATAATGATGATCTTTTTTATTATTTCTCTTAGGTTGTATTTTCCTAGTATTAAGTGTTCTTAAAACATTGTACCACTATTTCCTAGGTTTTTCATCCTCGAAAGAAAGTTTTGGGAGTTGCTCTATCCCACCACATGTTGCTCCTGCCCCTGTCGGATGAAGATTTTGAGTTATGGCTTGTTTGACATGACTTTTGAAAAGTCAAAATGAGCTTTTGATATCTAAAAATCATTTTCGGACCCGTTTGACTAATTCTATGGAAGTTCTTTTACCAGTTATAAGAGTTTTTAAAGAAAATTGATTCCAATGTAATTTCCTCTAAGTGCTCTTTCGAAGTAGGAAACTTTTTTAAAAATTAGTTTTCAAACGAAAATTGAGGTTTTTTCTCCTAAAAACTCTTCCCCGTGAAGTAAAAGTCATGCCAAACAGACCCTTAGTTAGTTAGGGTGGATATTTCCCGATTAGTAAGGGAATGAACGTGGTGACGAAGAATTCGGTCCTGTTCTGACTCTTAAAATTAATGCTAAAAGGTCAAAATAAGTTAATTGTTAAACCAGATAAATTAATAATAAAAAATAAAAATAAGTAAATTGTTAAACGAGATGAGAAACCAGAATATTTCTATTTTTGATTCTGTCCTGCTTCCCAAAAATCTTCGGGCATGGGGAAGGCTGCTTTGGGCTTGTAACGTCCAATTGCCATCCCAGCCTGTGAGATATTTATAAATGTAGCGTGCTATCTTGCCAACGAGAAAATGAATTGCGATAATTTCGTGTCAATTGTATTTGTCTATGTGGTCATTGTCAAATATCACTTACACCATTTAGGTCTAAATAATACTCTGTTGTTCATTCAGCTGAAAGAGTTAAAATAATAGTTTCAGTATTATTAGGGGCGAACCTACTTGAGAACCAGAGGGGCAGAATTTTTAGATTTCTCGATTTTCATCAGATTTTTTTGCCTTTTTGTCCAGATTTTTTAGGTTTTCAGATTTTTTTTTTCCCAAGATTTTTTAATTTCGCCCCCACTGAACTTCTTTCATGGGTCTACCCCTGGGTATTATATTATTTCTAAAGGAGCGATAGGATGGAAAAAGTTTGTAATGGTAATGCTATTATTTATGCTAAAAAGTGGAAGAAAAGTGGTCGAAGAAGGTATGCATTATTCGAAACTCGAAATAAGAGTGATTTGTGTATTTATTTTTTTGAAAATAAAAGCTTTATCTTTGAAATTGCCATAAATCTAACGTGAGGTACGAGTTATTCAAAACTTGAAATGAGGGAAATTTGTATAATTTTAAAAAGGAAGTGGTGTATTAGAAATTGTTATAAACTTCAGCGAAATTCTCTGTAATTTCATTTGTCAAAGTCAAGCGATGCTATATGTCCCCGGAGTTTTGAGTAAGAACACTGTGCATTGGTTGGGGTTGTAAGTGGAACCCACTACGCCACGTGAAGTATGAGTGTTTTAGCTAAGCTAATTAACCGTTGGACTCGAAACAAGTGATTTAGGACAACAAAATTAGATAACAATCATGTTACATGTACATCATCTTTTACATCTTGTTCATGACAAAACACCATCGAACAATTTAAAAACAAAAACAAGTTTCCCGTCCACAATTTTCAAAAACCAAACGCAATATCAACAATAATGTAAATGAAGGAATGTACATTTAGCATTATTGATTAGATAAAGAGGACGGGTTGACACAAAGTAAAGAACCACTACAATATTTCTGTAACAAATTATAGAATCCTCTCATGTAGTTATTAGAGTTCCGATCATGAGAAATTATCGTTATAAATATTTTATTTTATATAATTTTACCAATACGATCGATAATTACTTTTAGTTTATATTTAATTAAATAATTTGACTTTGACAAGATTTCCCTCTTATTCCCTTTTCTAGTCAAAATTTTGGGTCAAAATTCTTATTTTTTAAAATCAAGTCATTTTTTTTACCCAATATATTATTGCATTGAAAAAAAAAATCACATTGCAGAAATAGAACGAATATATCTTTTAAATAAATAAGATAGTTTCAAATTTGCATAAAAGACAAAACAGTAAAATTGAAAATATATGTTGATTTTTGTGTACAATAATTTCATAGGAATGGATATCTAAGTTTTTAACTCATCAAATGTTCTATTCCATTTTTTGCCGATTCGCTGCTGTTAAAAGCTAGGCACCACTTTAATTTTATTGTCAATCTCTTCGAAATCTCTAAATATAGATGTCGTTTTCATCTATTTTTAATTTTAAATAAACTCCAATCTCGACGTGTTAGGAGAGTCGAGGCATTACTCTTATTGGTGGTCATTTTCAATAAGGTTAAATTTATTTTTAATCCAAAAAGACAATATTAAAAAAAAATTAAAAGGTTGTTATTTTTCTTTTGGACTATGATGCGATGGCTATTTAAAAAATTCACCTAATATGAATTACTTTATCTGCCCTTATTGTGCCCAAGGAAAATTTCTTATTCGGGATCAAGTTGAAAGAAGAAAATGGCTATAGCATATACTTGCTGGTTTATGTAAAATGACATGCCAAGAATTAACTATTTTCTTCACAACCACGACTATTGAATCTTGTTCTTCGACCTTCGTCGCTCCCTTCTTCACCCTCGTCTCTCCTAATTTTCTTAGTTGATTGGAAAATCCTTCTTTGATGATGGACTAAAGAATCTAGGACAGCAGCATCCAAATTAAAAACTAGGTATTTTTTTTTCGTACCTCGACGTAGGAAAGAATTTAAAAAAAACCCCTAAGAAATAAAAACTAAATTATTGTACATAGATAATGAAGATCATCAAGTACAATTGCTTGTACAGTTGTATTGCATACTTATTTGCTAGAATGAGTAGGGGAAAGAATAAAAGAGAAACTTTATATGAAACGGAATAATATAGTACACAGGAACAACATGTGCAATAAAGAAATCTTTAAAACAATTGCTCAAGAAGAGGGACCATTCGAGAGCCTTTTGAGCTTCTTAACATAGTTGCTCAGGGGCTCTAAGTAGCAAGAGAGAGGCGAAGGTGTGGGAGGTAAATATGAGGTGCAATGTAGGTGAAGAAAATGACGAATATGAAAGCATTGAACGCATGTTTAGGATTTGTTTATAATTATTTTAAAATATAAATAAATAAAAATGAGTGAATAATACTTGCTTTATCACAAAATAGGTAAATAAAATATAACTTGACTCTTTATACACAAATTAAGAACACGTCCCAAACATGCGAATAAGGAGAGTTTTGCTTTCCACAAGAATCTTAAACAAAATAAGAAAATCATAAGTTAATTATGCGGTAATTTATCTATTAAAACATGGGTATTTCAAAAAATTCGCCACTAATGCACGTGTTTGATTTAAATAGTTGTCTGAAAATGAGAAAGCTTTATCGTGTGAAATTCCGACAATTGCCACAGTGCACCACTGTTCCTCCACAAAAAAAGTGCAGCATCAGTGGGGTACCCCTTCGGACAAACATAGTGGAGACGTGGTCAAAGTTTAACCCCCACGCACCCCACCCACTCGTAATCTCCTGCCGGTGTATATCATTCATGGTCTCCCACTCTCCCTTCCTTACAGACACACGGTCACAGAAGAATTAATACTTTCTTGTTTTGCCATTTTCAGATCATTTAGCTGCAGAATATGTAAACAGAACAACTCTCTTCCTTGTGTACGTGTATGTGTATTTATCTTCTATTGTGTGTTCTTTTATATATATATATATATAAGATTTTTGAAGAGATCTTGAAGTCGCTTTCCCATCTCTGATTATCATGAAGAAAGTGACTGATCATCTTCCCCTTGTAATTAATATTTCTTGGTCTTCCTGACCTTACAATTTTATTATTAAAATCAATCTGATTAATTTTTTAGTCACCTGCTATCTTATCCTTGTTTTCTTTATCATTTTCTGTTCAAAGAACTACAATGAAACCATTTTTAATAAACATCATTGGTGATTTAGGGTTTCAACTGTTCTGAGCTCCTCCTTCACAATTGCGAGCAGTTAAGTAATTTCTGAAAGATTATTAGATAGTGTAATTTGTAATTAATTTTTGCCATGGATGATTGTGATTGTGAATACCTGGAATATGGGTTTTGATTTTCCTTCCGAGTAACATTAGGGTTTGTGGAAAATTGATAGTAATTGCAGTTGAATTCATTTTAAATTTTCTCTCTCTTGAAAAGGGTTTAGAGGACTTTTTAATCGCTAATGGATTTTTATTGTATCAGTTCAAGATTTCTTTCATTTTGATCTTTAAGAAGGTTATGATTTATTGTAGCATTTTTTTTCAAACAAGAATTGAAATTTGATTTCAATTTCTTCATTTTGTGCTACAGAATATGTTCTACCACACTCTTATTTTATTTTTCTATCTGGTTCAGTGTCCATCTGCAAATAGTGTTGCTCTATTTCAGGTTTCACTGGGAAAGTAAAATGAGGCAACGCTTTGCTGTTTTTCAGTGTTGAGCTAGGGAGACAAATCTTAATTGAATATTAGCTACTAAATTGAATGTATCAACATTAGGATTTTTGATTTGTCACATGATTAGCATAAAAACTGTCTTGGTTTAGGTTGTTCATAAGCATTTGGAGCTTGAAATTTCACTGGAAGTACTTTTGCATGTTAATCATTTTTTTCCTCTCTCTTTCACACTCTCTTTTACATCTTCTTGGTCCTTTGGGAAAC